GTGGCCAACCACGCGATCGACTCCCGCAACGACGCCATCGGCTGGATCAGCACCCCGGGGGCGGAGGCCTCGATCAGGGGCAACCTTAAGTCGGGCACGTCCCTCTACAGGGGGAATATTCAGAAATAGTCCAAAAACAAAAAATAGTCTGGGGACGATGTTTTGAGTTTTTGTTGGCCATTTTTGGGATATTTGTTGAGTATATTATATTTGTCGTCCAAGATCCGCCTGTAGGAGGACAGACAGGCCCGACTTGAGGGCAACTGCAAGGCTTGGTACAGCCAGACCGATCTGAAGGTGTTTTGTCCCCCGTCGCCCCAGACTTCCGATGAGAGAGCTGCGTGGCTTTTGAACTCGACGCGAGTGTTGCTCGCCTTCTGAATCCGGCGGCGGCCTCCCGCGGCGCGGGCAATGTTTTCTCGGTTTGGGCGTCTGCAGGGGGGCCCGCTGTCGGTTACCGGGGCCATCAGAATGTGTTTCCGGGGTCAGGGGTTGGGACCTCTTTGAGGCCGCGCATGGAGAAAATCACATAGAGTCGGGCCGGGGTAATTATAAGATCGAGGTCGGTTCGGGGGGGGCACCCTCATGACCATGGTGTCTGTGGGCTGTTCTCGTGCATCCTGGGGGAGGGCACCCTCGGATGTTCTGTGTGCTTGGGCCGGCGGAGGGTCTCATATTCCGGGAGGGTGTTCTTCTGTCCTAGGTCCGACTGCAAGAGGGGGTAGGCCCAGGGGGAGGGATGCTTCGCCCTGCAGTCGCCCGCTCATTGCCGCTGGCAAGGGGCCTGATGGCCCACCCCGCCCAGGCACATGCGTTTTCGCCCTCGGGGCCCATCGCCGAGACATCTCCGATCCATCGCCGAGGTACCCGGGGCCAGGACGAGGATAAATCCGTTCCAGAGCTTTCTTCCGGAACCTTCGCAGAGCGTTCTGGAACCCTTTGAGAAGGCCGCGGCGCCCGAGACATCCTCCAAAGCCGCCGGATCTCAGAGATTCTCGATTAGTCCCCAACCGAATTTAGGGGAACGACCAATGACATAAACATAAGAACTCTGAGGTCCGCGCGGGTTTCTCGGATCGGCGCTGGATCCCCCTCCCTGGCGCGCGGTGTGCGCCAGAGGCGGCGCCGGAGGCGCCGCCAGTGGGGTCCAGCGCCGATCCGAGAAATCCGCGCGGACCTCAAAGTTTTATGTGTATGCCATTGTTCTCGGGTATAGCCAGGACCCCGGGTAAGAGGACCCGGTGAGTGGTAGGGCCCCGGGGCCCTTGAATTTGCCAGAATCACTAAACCTGGTCTGCCGTAGCTGGTGTTTTGTCGGGTGACGGCAGTTCCGGTTAGTGGAACGGGGCGGGGGGGCGTCCCCCAGTACAAATCAATAAACCAGGTCCCACTAAACCCAGTTCTGCCAACGCCCGATGTTCGTTCCACTAGAATTGATCCTCGCCCTGGCTTCGTCTGATTCGCCCCCCCCTGAGCCAATCCCCCCCATCGTTGCCCCTCCAGGGGGGCAGGAGGAGGAGGAGGAGGAGGAGGAGGAGGAGGACCATTAGCGTTGCCCCTCGTCGCGCTCGCGCATGGTCATCCAGAGGTGGGCCTTCTCGGCGCCACCGCGGCGGGGCCCCAGCACAAGCGGGCCCTCCGGGCCGGCGCGCAGGAGAGAGCGGCGCGGCGCCGCACGGGGGGGCGACGCAGGAGGGCAGCCGCGGGGGGAGCGTCGCGCCTCCCAGCGCTGGCCAGGGCCCCAAGCCTGCCGAGCACGGGCTAGGGTCGAGGGCGGCCAAGAGGCCAAGAGGGGGGTGATGACCAGGTGTAAGTCGGGCCTGTCTCTCTACAGGAGGAATGTTAAAAAATAGTAACCAAAGATAATATTGGGATGATTTTTCGACTGTTGTTGAATCTGCTTTGATCCTGATTGTTACTAGTTCTTATGTTTCGTTCAAAATCCGCCTCTAGGAGGGCACGCCCGACCTAAGCCAAGAGGGGGGTGATGACCAGGTCCAGGCCTCCTAGATCGGGTCCGAGTAGAAAGGGTCGGAGGATGGCGCCGCATCGGCGATGCATCGGCGATGCGGCTAGATGTGGAGCCCGATTCTCTCCATGCCGGCGTCGCCGATGCAGCGCCGACGTCGCCGATGCATCGCCGATGCAGCGCCGACGTATCGGCGATGCGGCGCGATCCTCCGACCCCAGCTACTCCGACCCCATCTAAAAAGCCTCTATCAATGCAGACGGGGGTCAGTCAGAGCGCCAGATCTTGCAGGATCGTGCAGAGCCACGGGCGCACTGACCCTGGCTTGGGTGCATGATCCTGCAGGATTTTGCAGGATCTTACAAGACCTGACTGACCCGGGTCTGGAGAGCACCAGTCAGGGCTGGGGGCGGCCAAGAGGGGTGTGATGACTAGGGATGTGTATGGATATCATGGCGGGGGCCACGAGATCTCCCCTGATCTCATGGCGCCTCATCTTATTTCACAACGTCCCTTCCTCCTCCTCCTCCTCCTCCTCTTCCTCCTCTTTCCTTCTCCTCCTCCTGGGCCGCGCACGCCGCCGGCCATGGTTTGCGCCCACCCCATTCGTGGACGCCCCCCTCTTGGACACCCCCGAACCAAGAGCAGCGAGAGCACAGATTCGCCATTTGGGGGGCGCGGGCCTCGAGGAGCACGGGCCCCGTGAGGCCTCTCGCCGTGCTCGGGCCCTCGGGGGCCCTCCACTCACCGAGCGCGTTCCACGGGTCGCAAAGTGCCTACTCGCAAACGTCAGAAAAATATAGTTGCTGCGATGCAATTTACACGTGAGAGTGACCCTTCGCCGGAGTGACCTTTGGTGCGGGCCCATTGTCAGGCGATCGCAAGCATGGATCAAGGGGGCGTGGATAGTAAGCGACGGGTCCCGCTTCCAGGGGAAGTCGCGGATTTCCGCCGCCGAACGAGGCGGCACCAGCCGCATTTTGGGGAGGGCACCTCCCCCGATCCATGGATTTGGCGACCGCGCGCCAAATCCATGGATCGCTAATCCATGTTTGCGCGCCCCCGAACTTGCGTGCGTCTTGCACGGCACGGCCGTAGCTCTGCGATTCTCAGTACCATCGCGGAGAGTCTCAACCGCCCATTCGCAGCCCTCTACGCTTCGATGTCCGGCCTCCTCTGGCCTTCCTCCTCTTCTGTACGCACGCCTGCCTCCTCGCACTTGGCCTCGACTCCTCGCACCAGATGCCACACTTGCCCCAGGGGCCGCTCTCACGTGCAGTCGAGCTGTTTTGTTGCCGTGTCTTTCAGGCGATCGCAAACATGGATCACGAGATAACGAGAAGGAGGAGGAGGAGGAGGAGGACAACGAAAAGGAGGAGGACGAGGAGGGGGAGGGGGAGGCGCAGGGAGAGGGGGAGGAGGGAGGACTGAAGAAGAGTCATAGGCGAACGAGGAAGAGGATCAGGCGATCGCAAACATGGGTCAAGGGGGCGTGGATAATAAGCGACGGGTCCCGTTTCCATGGGAAATCGCGGGTTTCCGCCGCCGCACACGGCGGCACCAGCCGCATTTTGGGGAGGGCATTTCCACCGATCCATGGATTTGGAGACCGCGCGCCAAATCCACGGATCGCTAATCCATGTTTGCGCGCCCCCGAACTTGCGTGCGTCTTGCACGGCACGGCCGTAGCTCTGCGATTCTCAGTACCATCGCGGAGAGTCTCAACCGCCCATTCGCAGCCCTCTACGCTTCGATGTCCGGCCTCCTCTGGCCTTCCTCCTCTTCTGTACGCACGCCTGCCTCCTCGCACTTGGCCTCGACTCCTCGCACCAGATGCCACACTTGCCCCAGGGGCCGCTCTCACGTGCAGTCGAGCTGTTTTGTTGCCGTGTCTTTCAGGCGATCGCAAACATGGATCACGAGATAACGAGAAGGAGGAGGAGGAGGAGGACAACGAAAAGGAGGAGGACGAGGAGGGGGAGGGGGAGGCGCAGGGAGAGGGGGAGGAGGGAGGACTGAAGAAGAGTCATAGGCGAACGAGGAAGAGGATCAGGCGATCGCAAACATGGGTCAAGGGGGCGTGGATAATAAGCGACGGGTCCCGTTTCCATGGGAAATCGCGGGTTTCCGCCGCCGCACGGGGCGGCACCAGCCGCATTTTGGGGAGGGCATTTCCACCGATCCATGGATTTGGAGACCGCGCGCCAAATCCACGGATCGCTAATCCATGTTTGCGCGCCCCCGAGTCTTAGTTTGCTCTTCCATAGGCCACGGGCGTCGAGAGGCAGACCATCGAGAAGGAGACTCCGCTGGCGGCACCCTTCCTACTTTCGCGCGTGCGCATTGTATTGCACGCATGGTGCATAGGTTTACGCTCTACCAGGCAGGAATGCGAAGGACAGGAGTGTCCTTGACATGCTCCCCGGCGTGACCGCTTCGGCGATGAACCGCCGGTGATGACATCGGGAGAATGACACAAGGGGATGAGCCGCAGTAGAACTACGGGAAGCGGATACGCCTGTAGCCTAGGTTTTTGCGCATGGTGTGACTTCAGAGAGGCCTTCACGGGAGACACTGGAGGTTGATGGATTGCAACGGAGCGTCAGGGGGAGACGGGAACGACGCAACAAGAACAGGATCATGTGCGTGGACATTCGCGTGAAAGTTACCCGCGTAATTTCTCGCGCAAACTTCAGCAGCTCGGTCCACAAGCCGACGAACAGAATCAGCGGCCGGGCGAAGGCAGAGAGGTCGTAAAACCACTGTTGTGCATCAGTTGGGCAAGCGAGCGGCTTCTGGTGAGCAGAGTCATGGCCAGCCTGAGAGGACAGGAAAGACAGACTGCGATCTGACTGTACTGGCACGTGTCACCTTCCGAACCGCACGCCGCTAGTCACTCGTGCAACCGAGACTGAACAATTGACCTTGTGTGTGCACGCTAAAGGTCTGCTTGTTTAGGCCGTGCCTCCGAAGGGATCCTGAGAGTTTCTGGATAGTAATACCGAGCCTCAGAATCGTATCAGGATTCTCGAGGATAGCACAGCCCCGAGAAGCAAATATCATCTCAGAAGCCCGAGACCGCACGGCAAACTCTTCAGAGTGGGGCGCGTCGGCACAAGCCAAGATATGAGCAAGAGTGAGTGACCTCGCGAAGATCAGCATGAGGACGAAGGCAGACGAGTGGGCGAACGGAGGATGAGAACAGAGAATGAGTATGGGCGGTTCTGCCTCTCTTCACCCTTTACCCTCCCCGTCCTGCTCTCTCCCTTCTCATCCTCCTCCCTCATCCCTCAACATCCCTCCTCCTTCTCCTTCTCCCTCTTCCTCCAGGCTCTCTGCTTCCCCCGTCCCTTGACTTGCGACGGTGCGGGAGCGGAAAGGACCGGACTGTTGGTTGGCCGTCACCAGGCTATCACAGCCTTCCTCTCTTCGGTTCCGGATTGACGTGGCCCCCTCTCAGGTTTACAAATTTTGCTCTTCATTTTCATCATCCTCCTCCTCCTTCGCCTCCCCAGACATCCGATGTCTGGATTCTGCCTAGATGGTGTCCCCAGAAGTCATGACCCTTTCCCCAGTGCAGCCGTCTCCTCCTCCTCATCCTCGTCCTCGTCGTCCTCCTCCTCCTCCTCCTCTTCCTCTTCTTTTTGACGCTGGACCAACTAGAGGCGGCAGCTTCTCCTACTCCTCCTCCTCCTCCTCCTCCTCCTCCTCCTCCTCCTCCTTGTCTTTATTTGTTATCCTTTTCTTCCTCCTCTTTCTGCTCCTCCTCCTCCGCCTCCTCCTCCTCATCCGCCTCCCCTCCTCCTCATCCTCCTCCTTCTCCCCCTCCTCCTCCTCTTTCTCTTTTCGAACTTAGACCAACTAGAGGCGGCAGCTCCTCCTCATCCTCTTCCCCCTCCTCCTCCTCCTCCTCCTCCTCCTCCTCCTCCTCCTCCTCCTCCTCCTCCTCCGCCTCCTCTTTCGCCTTCCCAGACATCCAATGTCTGGATGTTTTTTTTATAGCTTGTCCCCAGAAGTCATGACCCTTTCGCCAGGGCAGCCTTCTCATCCTGAGCCGTTGTTGACGGCCGCAGGGCTCATTTCGGTTCTTCCGATTCGATTCGATTCGATTTCGATAGATTCCGATTCCGATTCGAGTCCATTTCGGATTTCGATCTGGGATCCGATCTATCATTGGAGGCCTACTAGCCTGCCGATTTCCGCTCATTCGATTTTTCCAGACTCGGCTGCCGATTTCCGCCGATCCGATATATTTCGATTGCCGATCCGACTTGTCGATTCGATTTTGGGCTCTCTGGCCCCAGAGCTCGAAGCCGGCCCCCTCAGGCCGAACGCGGTGAAACATCGCCGTCTCGATTTGTCCAGGACGTTGGATGTCTGGGTCCACGTCCCCGCCGTTCCTTCTCCTATCCGCCCTCCTCCTTCTCCTCTTCTCATCCCTCCTTCTCTTGGCAAGAGGGGAGTGATGACTGGGGAGGGACTTCATGGCCTGGGCCACGATACCTCCCCGGATGTCATGGCCCCCTCTTCTTCAAGGCGTCCCTTGGTCCCCCCGTGGGCCGCGCACGTGCTTTGGCTCATGACTTGCGGCCCCCTCTCTGACTCGACGGCGAGCGAGGGGGGGAGATGAGAAGGAGAAGGCCTTCTCAGAAGGCGGCGGGACTTCTCAGGAGACTTCTCAGAAGGCCGGGGGACTTCCGAGCCTTCTGAGAAGGCCTTCTCCTTCTCACTGCCCCCCTCGCTCACCGCGGACTGGCCGACGCCGTTCTCCTGGACGCCCCCGAAGAAGAGCGGTCCCCGAGGACCGGTGGTGGATGGAGCTGCCGCGGCCTCGGCACGCCCCGGGCCGGGCCAGCAAGCTCCAGTCGGAGGCAACGATTGAGGGGGATAGGCACAGGTGGGGGATGCATCGACCCCCAATCGCCCACTGATCGCCGATAGGGGCCCGATAGCCCCAACCTGCCCAGGAAGGTGCGGATTCCCTATCGGCGGCCTATCGCCGATCTATCGGCGATGTATCGCCGATTCCAGGTCGATGCACCCCCCCTGTGCCTCTCCTCCCCTATCGTTGCCCCTCATCCAAAGAGCAGCTCGTGAGGCACTGCGGCGGAGCGGCAGTGCGGCTCGTGAGGCGAGGGGCAGCGCTCGGGCGGGCTGCGGTGGAAGCCCATGCCAAGAAGCCCCCTGCTTACCTCCAGGGAGCCCTGGGTTTCCTGGGTTTCGATGGTTTTTCTCCAATCAGTGCTTGCACTGAAGGGGTCCTAGTGGAAGTTGAAAGATTTGGCGAAAATTTCGCGCCGATTTTGGTAGCAGGCTGGGTTCCCAGGTTCCCGGTTCTGGGTTCGCGGGTTCCCGGTTATTGGTTCCGGGCCGATTTCGGTGGGTTCTGGGTTCCCGGGCTCGCGGGTCCCTGGTCGATCTCCTCAGCGAAGTTTTTCTCTGGTGTAATGCAATGGAGAGCGCGACGCTCCCACACCCAAAATCCACGGGCGTCCTGGGGTCTCAGGGTTGGGTTTCTTGCGGAAGTTTTCTTGTGGTCGAGCCCCGATTGTAGGCTCGTCGGCAGCTTGCAGGGGGCCGGGGGCACAGGCTTCCGCAGGGGAGTCTTCTCTTCCAGTCCCCCCGACTTGTCGACGAAAAAAAGAAGCCGCTCAGAAAAAAGGGGGGACCCTGAGATGCGCTACAAGGGGGCTATTCGGACGCACGCCCATCGGAAATACTTGGCAGCTGAGTTCGGCGAAATGCTGGCTGGCTGGTTGCGCGCGTCTGCGTTGATTAATGCGAAATGGTGAACTTGGGAGCACGCTTCCATTGTAATTTACGAGGGTTCGCGGCTTCGGGAGCGCGCACCCGTAGCTGCGTTCGAGGATCCGTGGCCTCAGGCCCAGAACCGCATTCTCAGGGAACGACAGAGGCGCCGAAAAGCCCCCCCGAACACATATCCAAGCGATGCAACCTATGTCATGCAATCTACGCGGTGCAACTTATGTGGTGTAATTGACTAATTTGTACAGCACTTGACCACGTCCACTGCTTCGGCAAACACCCCACCCACCCACCCACCCGCAACTTGGCTTGCAAAACCAATGCGGCTGGGATTGCGATGAGTGATTGGCGTTGGCTGGTGCATCTCTGCGGCCGCGCCAGCCCGCGCATGCGCGCGCGCAGCAGCCAGCTAGCTTGGCGCGACCGACGCATCCGCGGTGGCGCTGACCGCTGGGCACATCCCAACGGGCACTTCAGTGCGAGTCAGCGACTTGGGCGGGCACGGTCTAATGGCAACGTCGACAACTGTAGAGACGACGATGATAGTAGCGACGCTGGTGGCGATGTTGACAGCGACGACGGGGCAGCCAATAACGGCGCCGATGCTGACCACGCCGACGATGACGGCGTCTTCGCGTCGGCGATGAAGGTTTTGGAAGGAGTTTGACATGCGCGCGCGGCAGACGCGCGAGAGTGGCCCGCACGACATTATTTGACACGAGCCATGCCATCTACCCCCGCCCGCGCGCAAGGGCGTTCGAACGCTTTCGACATGCGCGCGCGAACCCTGCTTGATGGCATGTTCTGAACATGTTGAAGACCTATGTTATTTGTTCTCAGAACTTGCAAGAGCGCGCGCGCAAGTTTGTTTTGAAAACCAGCGCTGCGAATTCTGTTGTTTTTTTACATGTTTCTTCGACGCTCGGTTTTGACATCCTTACGAGGACTAAGGTTTTGAAGGGTTTCGACACGCGCGTGCGGCGACACGCGTGCGTACTTCGTCCCATGCTTGGCGATGGTTTCTGGGAGAAAACTTGTGATTTGTGATAAACGAATGCGCGCGCATAGAATGTATTAGAGGATGGCGAGGGGCCGATGCCGGTTGGGCCAGGGTGGTTTGAATTCATTTTCAGGGTGGACGGTGGGGCAGAATCACGCGTGAATTGCCGCGCCGAAAAGGGGAACCGATAATCCGGGGGGAAAGGGAGTGCATTGTCTTTCCAGAAAGGAGAGTTGATTTTAACAAACGAGTTGACACATCCAATGCTCTTGCAAACGCGCCACCCACCCACCCGCATTTGGTTTGCAAAGCCCACGCGGCGGCGATTGCGATGCACGCTTGGCGTTGGGTGGTGCATCTCTTCGGCCGCGCCAACCCACGCGCGCGCCGCGGCCAGCAAGTATGGCGCGACCGACGCGGCCGCGGAGGCGCTGACCGCTGGGCGCATCCCAGCGGGCACTTCACTGCGAGTCGGCGACTTGGGCGGGCGCGGCATCATGGCAGCGTCGACAACGGTAGACGCGATGACGATAGCAGCGATGCTGGCGACGATGTTGACGCCGACGAAGGCGCGGCCAGTGCGGACGCCGATGCTGACCACTCCGGCGACGATGACGGCGTCCTCGCGTCGGCGATGATGGCCGTGGAAAGAGTTCGACATGGGCGCGCGGCCGACGAGCGACGGTGGCCCGCACTGCATCTCTCGACGCGGGTCGCGCCCCCCCCCCCCCACCCCCCTCCCCCACCCCCAGCGCGCGCGCAAGGGCTCGCGAATGATGCGGGCATGCGTCGCGAGAGGCACGGCTGGCAAGCAACATTCCATAAACGAAATGTATTGTTTTCTCGGGAGCTCGCAAGAGCGCGAGCGCGCGCTTCCTTGAACACCGACGTTGGGGAACCCTGTGTCTTTCGCATGTTTTGGGGGCACTCGGTTTTGAACTCGCTGCGAACGACGTGCGCTTGACGGATTTCTGCGCGCTCGCGAGACGACGCGCGCGCATTTCGTCGCATTTCTGGCGCGGGGGATTCCCGCGGCGGCGCGCGCGCAAGGGCGCCCGAACGATTTCAACGCGCGCGCGACGCCTGCGCGGTAGCATTTTCTGAACATGCTGTAAAGTACCAATGGTTTGCCCTGTGAATTCGCAAGAGCGCGCGCGCGAGCTTCTTTCTGAAAATCCGCGCTGCGAAACAACTTGCGCAGGAGATCCCCAAGCACCTGCGACTGTTGATGAACGAGTGCGCTCGCGAAGGCTTTTTGGCAGACGATGGCGGGGGGGCGATGCCAGTCGGGCTGGGTGGCAGGAATTCATATTGAGGATGGACGATGGGGCAATATCATATATATATATATATATATATATATATATATATATATATATATATTCCAACGCGGAAAGGGGCGCATATAATGCGCGGGGCGGGGTGGGGGCATGTGCTCTTTAGAAGGGAATCTACGCGGCGCAACCCACGTAGCGCAATCTACGCGATGCATTCTACGTGGCGCAGTTTATTTAAACAAACGAGTGGACACATCCCATGCTCTTGCAAACGCCCCGCCCACCCACTCGCAACTTGGTTGGCAACACCCACGCGGTGGCGATTGCGACGCATGCCTGGCGTTAGCTGGCCCATCCCTGCGGCCGCGCCAACCCACGCGCGAGCGCAGCGGCCGGCTAGTTTGGCGCCGCCGACGCGGCCGCAGCGGCGCGGCGCTGACCGCTGGGCGCGCCCCAGCGGGCACCCCGATGCGAGTTGGCGTTTTGGGCGTGCGCAGCACCGCGGTAACGTCGACAACGGTAGACGCGACGACGATGGCAGCAATGCTGGCGACGATGTTGACAACGACGACGGCGCGGTCAGCGCGGACGCCGACGCCCGCCACGCCGTCGACGATGACGGCGTCCTCGCGTCGGCGATGAAGGTTTTCGACGGCGTTCGATTTGCGCGCGCGGCCGACGCGCGAGAGTGGCCTGCGCGGTTGCATTCCCCGCGGGTCGCGCCCCCCCCCCCCCGCCCCGCCCCCCAGGGCGCGCGCGCGGGCGCGCGGATGATGCCGGCATGCGGCGCCAGAGGCCCGCCTGGCAGAAACCCCATGAACATGTTGAGCATCGCTTGGTTCTCTTCAAGAATGCGCATTCGACTTTGAAATCGCTGCGCAACCGTAGGTTTTTGACGGATTTCGGCACGCGCGCGCGACGACGCGCTCGCGCGCCGTTCGCCATATGTTTTGCAAAGGGTTCTCGCGACGACACGCGCGCAAGGGCGTTCGAACGATTTCGACACGCGCGCGCGAAGCCCGTTTGGCGGCATTTTCTAAGCACGTTGAAACATTGTTTTCTCGATGATTCGCAAGAGCGCGCGCGCGATTTAAAAACGCATCCGCGTTGCGAAACCATGTGTTTTATCTGTTTTGGGCAGTCGATGTTGAAATCCTTTCGAAGCCGGATGAGTTGTTGACGGATTTTGGCACGCGCGCGACGACGCGCGCGAGTGCACTTCGTGTCATGCGTTACAAGGGACTCTTGGAAAATTATGATTGCTGATAAACGAGTGGGCGCGCATAGTTTCTTCTGTAGAAGCTAACGGGGGGGGGGGCCATGTCGGTTGGGCTGGGGCGGTACGACTTCGCATTTAGGATGGACGATGTGGCGTAAACATATGTAAATTGCATTGCGAAGCGGGGCGCCGATAACCCCGTGGGGGGAGAGCCCACTCTGCCGTGCAATTGGTTTTATCAAACGGGTTGACACATCCCATGCTCTTGCAAACACACCCCGCCCACCCGCATCTGGTTTGCGAAACCCACTCGGTGGCGATTGCGATGCATGCTTGGCGTCAGCTGGCCCATCTGAGGCCGCGACGACCCAGGCGCGCGCGGGCAGCGGCCTGCTAGGTCAGCGCGGCCGACGCGGCCGCGACGGCGCTGACCGCTGGGCGCACCCCAGCTGCCACTTCACTGCGAGTTGGCGACTTGGGCGGGCGCAGCACCATGGCAACGTCGACAACGGTAGACGCGATGCCGATGGCAGCGTTGCTGGCGACGATGTCGACAACGA